CATGGCATTTGTTAGGAATTAGATCTGCTAGACTTTTCCAGACACTGGATAAAGCAGTGTTTATTTAGGTTTTATTGAGATAATGGTATTGTTTTCCTGAAACATCAGGGCTGTGCTTCATTAACTGAGATCATATTCTGGCCCTTCAGAGGAATGGCAGATACAGTTAAAAAAGAAATAAACAAATGAAAGTACCCTACATTAGGAAGCTGCTCATCCCTGTTACTTACCGCAATGTGAAAAATAAGAGCAGAAGTTTCAGGGCCAAGTCTTGTGACTGGAGATAGCTGGAACAGTTAATGCCGGTGGTTCCTTAGCAGTGCAGCTGTAGTGCTGTGAGTGCCTTTGCTCCCCCATCCCTCCACCAAACCTGCCCCCAGCTGTTACCCTTGGCTGCTGAAGGTCATTTTCTCTCATTGGATGCTGGCTCATTGCTCTATTGGGAAGCCTGGGATTCGAGCCTTCATGAGTCATTGATTTGCCTCTGATGCACTGAAAAAAAAGAAAGGAGTTTTAAAAAGAAATTAGCTGGTTTCTGTAGGGGAGCTTCTTATACTCTAGAGGGAACTCCTTGCTGCTTGCAATAGGTTATTCCTCCTGCTGCTATCTCCTGCAGACCATCCGAAACCAGGAGGCTGGAAGGAGAAGTGCTGAATTCCCTATGTGTAGTCTAAAATAGCTGAGGATGCTTGCTGGTGTTGGCTGTACATTTCTAGGACTTGTAGTGACCAAATTTTAGTGACCAAATTTATCCTTACTTTTAGTGACCAAAATTATCCTTATCAAGCACTGCACAAACTGTATTTCTATTATTTAAAAATTTTAAAGGTCTATAAGTAAGCCCCTGTTTCTTTGTTTCTTGCCCAGAAGGCTACCCACTGAAGGAGATTTTGGAGATTAAGAAGTGTGTATACCTCCATATTCTTGCAATTCATATCTGCCCAGATAGCATTGTTTCCACTCTGTTTTGAACCCCCTACAATCTTCATTTTACCCATATCATTCGCTTCAGTTATCTACAGTTGTGTTATACAGCGCACTTGATTTGAAACCAGACAGAGAATGGAATAGGTGACCATTTTTTTTAGAAAAAATAGATGTGTCTCTCTTAAAGTCACCACCTCTGGACAAGGACGGATTTTCAGGATAACTCAATATTCCATTGTCAAAGTCAGTGTGAATAGAATTAAACCATCTCTAAGCGCTGTTGAAATTCTTACTGTAATATCTCCTGGCTGTAGAAACAGCAATGCAAGAGGCCTTGTACCAAATTTGGGATTTATAATACTCGTGCTCAGGTCTGAACAATCCTACTTTTCAGATGCAAGTGATCTCTGATTCTATTCAGCACTTTACAGTATGAGCCCTAAAATAAAATGGGCTTGAGTTTTTATTCTCTCCTCATAGACTTTGAGAAAAAGAAGAAAGGTAACAGCCATCTGCCACCTTTTGCTCCTTAGTTCACTGAACGTTAAGTGTGTTTTTTTTTTTAAGTAAGGTACAACTTATAAATGTGATCTCCCATGTATCCGGAATGGATTGACACTGGTCCCCAGCAAAAAATGTGTTCCCATATTTATATGTCAATGATTATTCTCTCAAATATGGGACATATAAGCACTGACAGTCAGGATTACCAGATTCCTGTGTTACAAATCATAAAATGAGGAGAGCTGGAAGGGACCTCTGGAAGTCCCTTGTGCAACCCGCTTCTCAAGATCAGGTGGCTCCATACCTTAGCTAGAAGTGTTTTAAATGTCTTCAAGAATGGAGATCGCAGAGCTTCTCTGAGATCTTATTCTAATGGTTCACCACCTCTAGCAAAAAAACATTCCTGAGGTCTCGTGGGAGTTTCATGGGTTGCAGCTTGTGCCTGTTGCTTCTCATGCTTTCACCACGGCCCTCTGAGCACAGTCGAGTGCCATCTTCACTTTCCCCTCCCATGAAGTTGTTGAAAACATCAGTAAGAGCCATTTTAGCCTTCTCTTCTGAAGCCTGCCTTGAAAACCGTGCAAAATCATGAAAATCTCCAGAAGAAATATGAGTTTAAGGGCTTTGATATTTTGGTTTTTGAGCAAGAAGGAATCGAGTGTTCCGATTTTCCTCCACAACCATGAAGACTACTGTTCTGCTTTCTTTTAACTTTGCATTGTTTTAGTGAAATTATGGTTCTCTCATTTGCACTTTTTAGAGAGAGCTGGAAATGAAACAAGTTTACAAGAAAGGAAATAAAAGAATGAGAACGGGCTAAACCACAAATGCGATTTTGATTGAAAGCATTTTTGTAGGCACCTAAAAGTAGTTCAGGACGCATTATTGTTTCAGGGCTAGTGGAATAAAGGATGGAGCTTCACCCTAAGAAAAAGAACAATCCACAAACCCAAACAAACCGTGTTAACTAGTGATTCAGAAACAAGCGTCTTCCAGCAACACTGAAAAGATATGGCATGTGTTTAGGCACACAGACGCTTTGTATTTCTTACTGCTTTGAAGATGTAGTTCTCCAGAAGACTCACAAAAAGCTAGAGCAGCAAAATAATTTAGCCCAGCATTTGTGCAGAGAGACTCCTACCAGCCTTATATTTGAGAAGCATTTAATTTTGACCGTTATAAGTTGAGGGCGGGTTTTTTTGGTGTTTCCCGCAACAATCCAGTCTCTGAAATCATTAGGGAAGACCTTTATCTCTCATGTAAAAAATGTTTCAAGAAATAAAGACATAACAAAAGCAGTGGTGGTTCACTGGAAAATATCAGACAGTTAAAATGCATAAGTAAGGAGGCAAAGGCGAAGCAGGCATAGGAGAGGGGAAAAAAGCTTTGTGATATATGAGCACTGAAAAGAAATGCAACTATAGAAAGTAAAGCTATTGTGCAAACAGAAGTGAAGAACAGCACAAATGGCTGGCAATCAAAAGGACTTGGAATAGAGAGAGGGCAAATTCTAGGAAAAATCTTTATAAACAGTAAGAATGCTTTAGAAGTGGCTTTTCTGATAAACAGGAAGCCAGTGAAAGCCTAGGTAGATGGGGTAATACTTGTCCTTTTTACTAGATATGAGAAAACAGCTTTGGCAAACAAAGGAAAATAGGGCTGACTAAAAAGTATTTTAGAAAATATTGCTATCTAAAAGGAAAAAAAACCCACCACCAACAACAATAAAAGCCCAATTCCTCACCTATCTCAGCTGCCTCTCAGAAGAAATTGTGTGCTCCTGTTACACGTGAAATGGAAAAGGAGCAAGAGCTCATTTTTACTGATTCTCTTAAGCAATTCTGAAGAGCCTGAAAGGGTTTGGGTTATTACTGTCTTTTAATGAAAAGCTGTTGTAAGCAGGGATAGGGACAAACAAGCATACAAAAACCACTAAGAGGTTGGAGTCTTCAGTCATACTGGCTCATAAGTGGCATCTTAAAACTTTATACTCTCTCAGAGCACGGATGGATGGTCCTGAGCTGATTCTGCTGCAAGGCAGAGACTATAAATATCACTTTGCTCATCAGTCTTTGCGCTTATAAGACAAAAATTAATTTAATGGTATTGTTCGGCATTCACATGGACGGGTAAAAGCATCTGTCAGCAACAACTTAGCACTAACTGTTCTTTAATTAGCGTAATAAGCCTTTTTAGATGGTGTAAGGCTAAAGTATGTTTCTAGTGCTTTCTCAAATGAAGAATTAATTCTACATCTCCTCTTTGAAATATCTTTTAATTACTGTGAATGCTGCTTTATCATCCATCTTCATTATTAAGTAGAACAAGTTGCCCAGTCAAATTGTGTGAGAGTAAGTCAGGAAGGGAGATCATTTAAAGAGAAATGAGAGCTTAATAAAGATATTCCTCATTTAGAGAAAGACAGCTAAGTCCACTTAATACTGGTTTAGTAGTCAGAGAGAGAGAGAGGAGTGAAGGACAAATGCCAAGCTCCTGTCTTCCTCACTGAGAAAATCTGCTGTCTACAAGTCCATGTGCCTATGGCACTTCATTATTTGATCTGTAGCAGCAGCACAGAAGTTTTTTTCCCCTTAACAGCCTAAAGAACCTGTCAGATTCCTTGGTTTCATCACCATGTAGAGACCTGAGCGTCCTCCGTCAGTACTGTGGGTGAAAGGAGGCCATGTGAGCTAAGTCTGTAACCCAAACCTTGTGCAAATGAGAAGCAGCAAAACAAAAAGAGGAGAAGGATCAGAAATGTGGTGAGCATGACCTCAAATGTTAGCATAGGTGAGCACAGCAATGTGTCTGGACTGAAGGACGTTGGGGCAGCCTGAGGTCCGCAACTCTGCATCTTCTGCAGGCAGGGATTGTTCCTGCATAGTGAATTCATTAGTGCAGTTTGCTAAGGAGACACACATCATGTTAACAGCACAGCTTTTGCTGACCTGAGTCAAGTATACCCTTAATACCAAATAGGATTTGGATTACATTTTCCTGAGGAAACACAATTAGATATTCATCCTGGGAAATGTTGCGGGGCTACTTTTTTTCTTGCATCCTACATCCGTTAATAGATAGGACAGCAAGGCTGACTTGCTCATATTTAACATTCAGATCCTATCATATGTTTCTATCCTTAAAGAAAAGCTGAAATATTAATGCAGGCATGCTAACAGCCTGATCTGCAAGGTCCTATAAGCTGCTGAAGCCCTGCGCTTCTCTGTACTTGCACTAGCAGCTCTGCAACTTGGGTGCCCTCCACCCTTTTTAACAATCCTGGTATGAAGCATTTCCAGTAGAAAGAAGTATTTTTCAGGCAAAGTAAATGAGTGTGTTTTGCCGAACTTGAGGCCACCAGCTCCTCCAGATTTCTGCTGAGGAACACGTGAAGCATGTGCCTGTGAGTTTCTGTGGCAGTAAGGGGAGAGGGATTTACAATATGAAGTGCTGTTAAAACATCAGAGAGTGTCTGCAGTTTCTATTCACTGAGATTATCTAAAAATTCTCTTTTCTCCCCTTTCTTTCCCTCGTCCCTTCCTCCCTTCTCTTCTCCTATTTACTGTCAGGAAGGGCCACCTCTGAAGGCTCAATCCAGCATGGCCTGACGCCAACACAGACGGATATCAACAGCAGTTACAACAACAGTAAGTGATTTAAAATCAAGGCACTCCTTGAAAAGACGTCACTTTGTGTATATAGAATGTGCAAGAACTCTGCTGAGGACTTTGATGGGGAAAGGGATGTGTTTGTCACCCCTGGCTCCCTCTGGTTTGATGAGATTTCAAATTTTTGATGTATCATTGCAAGCCTTAAATACAGGCAGCTTTTACTGAATGATACTGGGAGTTTGATGCATGAGGGCCAGTGCCAGGGCATAATACCAGCAAAACAGGCTTCAGCAACTGGATGCCGCTTGGAGATAAATGGCCACCGAGAAAGTCCAAGACACTTCACCTGAATAGAAAGCAGAGGCTGGAAAGGCAAGCATAGACAGGGTTCTCAATTAAATGGTCACTTGCCCAGCCCTTGGCATGCTGAAGTGAAAAGCTACCAGTCTCAGATGGGTGTAGGAGCACTAATCTATTATTAGGGCAGGCAGAAAAACTCTGCTTGCAGCTCTGAGGTAATTCAGCTGCTATTGCTTTGATTCTCTGTTTCTCCTTGCCCTAGAAAGGAAAAGGAGGTTGAGCCCTTGCATGGTATAATATGCTCCATCTCTCTTGTTTTACATACACGTATTATCCAATACTTGTGGTCGCAGCCTCAAAGGCCTTTTCTCCTAATGCATATGCATATGGGGGTCTCCTTATAGGTTGCAGGAGAGGAAAGAGAAATTCATTACATGGGGCAAATTGTCAAGGGCACCTGGTCCTCACTGTTCCTGCAAGGTGCTCATGTCATGTATTTTCCTTCTGGTGGTTCCCTTCAGACCAGAAACCTCTGGTCCAGTATCACACAGGAGGCAGCTGAGGAAGGAGCTCATGGCTTAGAGAAGGAGTGGAAAAGCATATGAGCTGGAGAGGATGAGAAGGGGTGAGAGCAAATGGAGAGGGCAGCAGAAGGGAACTGGAAAAAGTAGTTCTGGCTCTCTGGAAAAGCAGTCTGGAGGGCTGAAAAATAACAAGTGAGCTAGCCTTTAGGTAAACCATCTGGTCTGAGACCTGGAAGAAACCTTCCTCCTCACACACACTCCTTCAAAGTCAGTGTGACAAATTTAGCAGGGCCTGAGGGCAGAGCCAGTGTCCGTCACTGGTTCCAGGCTGATCACCAAGGCTACATAATTTCTAGCATCTTACACATTTACGGAAAGGTAATATAAAGTAGCTGCAATCCACTGCATACTGATAGGTTTGCCTCTATTTTCTCTAGCTGTGTTGTCCTCAGCGTAGTTCTAACATTTTCCATGCATCTGCTGAACACTGTGTCTTTGGTAGGTTTACGAGTATATAGCTTGTTACGAACATATCAGAACATGTTTTTTAAATCCTTGCTCATAAACCATAAACATCACTGCAATAACGTTATCATGAGCTATGCAGAAATCTAATCTTGTTCTGCAATGAACAGTGGAAAATCTACAGCACAAACCAACAGCTCACTGCTTTGTGACTCTTAAGCCAAGGACTGATTGTTTTCTTTTTGCCCTGCTTAGTTGTCTTTTAAAGGCTTGAGCGAGTCATACTGGGTTTTTCCTCTTTTTAGTTTTTCTTAAGTCTCACAGTTCATGTAGCCTTATAGTTACCTCTGTAAACTGTCACTTGGAAGTGTTGATATCTTGGGCAGTGCATCAAACCAGATGTTTAAGCAGCTGTAGCCTCAGCCCTGTGAGCAGTTCCATGTGCCTGTAAACGTGTGGACACAGGTCTCCAAATCAATGGGACGACTCATCTGTGAAATCATCACATGCGGTTGAGGGATCTGGGCCTGTATTTGTGCCAAAAGGAAATGGATTTTAAAATCAAATAGTGTCTCCTGAAGATGTGACGCTGAGCACCTGGGGAGATTAGGCTGGTACTTGGCTTGTCATAAAACGCATCTAACCATCAGTGAAGGAGTCTGAACTACAGCACAGAGTTTACATTTAGCAGGTCCTTGATGAAAAAACAGCAACAGAAAACATGGACAGACCCCTGACTTGGGAGAGGTTGAGCTGGAAAGTCGTTCTTTGGGCACTCAGAAATCTCTAATGTGATATACTATCATATCTTGCCTTACCTTGCCTAATCTTCAACCCTGTTTTGTCCTGCTTGTCTGGACTAGCACTCAATTTTGGAATTTTTTATTTTCTTCTTCAAGTTGTTACAGCACTTAAGCAAAATGAAAGAAGCACTCTGCTTAGATCGGAAAGCCTTTAAATAGTGTTTGATTCTGGTGTATTTGATGCAGTTCTTCACCAAGAAGAAGAATATTTTGAGGTTACATTATATGAGCTTAGTATTTGTGAAATTCAGGTGACAATATTAGGCAGGTAAACTATCAGGCAAAGTTATTAATAATGTTTGATTAGTGCTTCTCGTGCTTGTTTTTCCTAATCATAAGTATTTAGCCTCTCCATCTCTGTTCATTGGAGACTGCATCTGCACAGCTTAACTTTGAAATGACTGTAGACATGCAATACTTGGCGACTACCAAGAGCATCTCAGAATGTCGCTATTAGGATATTATTATTATTATTATTATTATTGATGTCCTCTGTGGAGACTCCATTGAATGACTAAGCCTTGTACAAACACACAGGAAGAGATGATCTATCCAGACAGACAGAACTAGGGGCAAGATGAAGGAGGGTTTTCAAGCCCTGTTTCATGGACAAGCAATGAAGAGTCTCTCTCTGAGAGTGGGACAGAATTGGAATAGAGGATCAGAGAGGGTGTGCAATCCTCATCCTTGGAGATATTCATAACTTCACTGAACAAAGCTCTGAAGAGCCTGATCTAACTTGCAAGTTAGACTTTGAGCTGGGAGGTGGGCTAGATGACCTCCAGAGGGCCCTTTCAAGCTACATTATTCCATAATTCTCTTGTTGCTAAGGTAGCAACAAAAATCTGGGGCAAACTCCTGTGTGTTTAGATTAGATATTCTGATACCTCATCTAGCACTTGAGCTGCATAAAATGTCCTCCGTCTTTGGAAATGAGATGTCTCCTCCAAAACCACCCAGTTGCTGTTGTCTTCTAATAACCTGCAGTGGAAAGGAGAGGAGTGTGATGGAGAATTTTGCATTAAATTAAAATCAAGTCTGCTACATTCACAAAGTAGGTAGGATTCAAGGAAAGGAGGACTGGAAGGTGAGCCGGTGATTTTATGCAGGTAAAGAGAACTTGCTCTCCACAGGACTGATTCTGATTAAGGCTCTTGTTGACTCTCTCAAGGGTAGGAGGACAAAACTGTTCTTTCCCGGAGATCCTCAGGATCAGAGCTGGAGGAAGTTTATTCTGACAGTATTGTTCCTGTTGTGTAGCTAAATTGAACAGGTCAGGTCCTGGGGCTGTCAATCCAGTGAAGTTTGCACTTCAGAAAGGAAGGAGACGTTCTCCAGGGGCTTAATGCCAGGAACTCTGATGTGACATTGTGATAAAGCCCTGGGCTCTTTCAGTGAGAAGAAAGTATTGTTGCATTACTGGAATGATTTGTTATATCATGCCTGTTGCTCCCTTATTGTGTGCTTTCAACCCTGGGATCCCATTTTGTTTTGACGGACATCGAATTTCTTCCTCTGAATGTTTTTTTTAACCTTTCCTTTTTGTGTTGCTAGGAATCTAATCTGAGAGCTCATTATAGATTCAAAAACCGAGTTCCTATTACCTGAGGCAGGGACTGTAGGAAGAAGTAACAGCAGATAGTCTGATGAAAAAAACAGACAGGTTTTCTGGCACAGAAGTCACCATTCATATCTGAAACAGAAGCTGCACATTTTAAGATAATACACTATATTCTGGGATCCTTGGCTGTTATATTTTGACTCTTATTCAGAAGCCCCTGAAGCTGTTCAGGTGCCTGCTGTTGATTTTAATGGGCTTTAGGTTAACTATTATGTCAGCAAGATTAAATATTGTACTAGAATCTATAATGTTCTGCATTTTTTCTTGGTATCTATGACATCACTATCTTTTTTACCTAGTCATTCATTAGAAAAACAAACTAGCTGGCATCCTGAGACACGCCAAATTGTGTCTGCAGACTACTAATGATCATTAGTTCTATTGACTGAGTTCATAGGGAAAATCTAGGAAGCGAATCTGCGTTACTAACAGCGCTACTGCAAGCTGATTTTGTTAATTACAAGAGTTAGACCCTGTCCTTTCCACACTATAGCCTATACACTGGGATTGTCTGTCACAATATAAATGGGAGGGAAAGGCTTCCCCAGCAGCATCCTGCCAGAATTCCAGGACTAGCGAGCGCAGTTGTGCACTGCCTTTCCCCGAAATGTTTTGTTCCATTATAGCTGCCAATTTCAAATTATTGGTTTTGTCTCAGTTAATTGAAGCCACTACAGAAATGTCACTGCGCACAAATTTTAGTGTCAAGATCTGCACAGAGGCAGGAAAACAGCAGCTACTGAGAGAAAATCCACAAAACAAAGCAGTGCATCATCCAAGCTTCTCAACACGTGGAGGAAACTTTTAAGGAAAGCTGGATGGTTGAACACCACCCTCTTACTGTTATGGGCTTCTTACACCGCTAGACGTTTTATGAACCTGAACAGCTTTGGAGTGAATTTATGTCAGGGCAAGGGTAAAATATCACTGCCCTCCTCTTGAGGTAACGAATATGTCCCTTAGGTTCCTGTCTACAACAATGAAATAACACAGCAAAAAGTATGCATTTTCAAGT